CAGAGGTGATTTTAGGTTCTTGGATATCACCAATCTGCCAGTGAAAGGGACAATTAGAAGTGAGAGGTTAGATGTAACAGCTGCACTTTTATTGGCAATGATTTTCTTACTGACTGATTGCACATGTACAGTCTCAGCTCGGTCTCTTCTTACTGGTTGATTACCCGAGTGTGGCAAGCAGCTGTGTTATATATAAGCATCTGTAATCAGAGCGAGTACCAAATAAACTTGTGGAACTTTCTCTCTCTCTCTCTCTCTCTCTCTCTCTCTCACACACACACACACACACACACACACACACACACACACATGTGTAAGCAGAATACATCTGCATAGTTCATTTAGACAAAGAAATGTGTTTATGTACAAGCAATTCATGATTGTGAAAATTCAGTTCATGATTAAATACAGTATTGGTGTGTGTGTGTGTGTGTGTGTGTGTGTGTGTGTGTGTGTGTGTGTGTGAACAGGCTTATGCGTGCGGTTCTGTTTTAAATTGGTCACAGAACGTCTCTTGTCTTTCTCAGCCAATCCTCAGCTTCCTCTGAAAGCAATAAAGAAACATGCTTTCGAAAAGGCCCGGAATCGCGGGTGAAGTGTGTGTGTCCTTGGGACCACACATGTTTGTGCATGAAAGAGAAAGAAGGATGCTGTAAACATTTGGTTTACATGATTGTCGAATTGTTTGCACTCACGTGTTTTACCTTGAGAGGCGTACGTGACCTACGTGATTCCCTTAAGTGGGAAAGATGTCAAAAAGAAGAAGGTAAGATCTGTTCCTCGAGGCAGGATTTTACACACATCTTCAGTGAGGAAGGCTTTACACTCTGAAGCCCTCTAAACTGTAACGGCTAGGTAGGTCTCTTGATTTCCTTCTAAGGCGCCTCTGTGTCGCATTTTTATTTCCTACTTTCGGGTGTTTTTTGTGTTGATTTGGTTGTGTGTGAAACACTGGAGATGGTAGTTGAGGCATAAAAATAAGCAAGACAAAATTGTGTCAGTCAAAAAACGTGAAAAGACAATGAAGGGGGAAAAGATTTAGTAACCATTTCTTATACATAAAAAAATACAAATATGACGTATTTGATATTTTGATTTTTACTTGTAGAAATAAAAATTTACAAAGACAAAGTCTTTAGACCACTAAAAAAAATTGCCTATACCCCAGTTTATTTACATTCCCACAATTCATACAGATTCTTTATGATGATAATAAAGGGATTCAAATAAATAAATGAATATCCCACACTTGTTTTCCTGTCTCTTGTTTTCATTATTACCTTATCCGACATTAACTGCAGAGCAACCAAACTGTTGTCCGAGAGGAGCAACAAAAAGCACGCTGAACCAAAGAAAGCAACAAAAAACACACACACACACACAACCGCAAGCAGACCCCAAAACAGCTCCCTTAAACTTTTACGTGAGACACAAATCCATTTATGAGGGCTGGCCTCTGTCTGGAAACACCTCTGGCAGCTCTTCCTTTATCTTCTGAAATGCTCTCTTCTCTCCATCGCTCTCTAACAGCTAGACATTCAGAGTAAAGCCCAAAACGGATCTGAAGATTTTTAACGGCACATTCCTCCACTTTAATTTGAACGTCTCATTCCTTTCCCCCTCCATAGCTTCAACTGTCCTCCGGCTGAGCGACAGCTATTTCATCCAAACAAAGACCAGAGTCGATGAGCAGACGCAGATACACAAACGTACACATGTTTTGAAGGGGGAGGCTAATTCTGAGTGACAGAGAAGTGATTGCATTGCTGGAGTTGTGTCGAACACTGTCTTCACTCCATTTGTCGAGGGAGCAGACTTGGAGCACAGTGCGCAATAGCTCTCACGGAGAGAACAGGCTTCCATGAGAAAAGAGAGAAGACGCATGAGAACAGTATTGAAAAGCAGAATCGAGGGCCAAGTTGGAAATGACAAAGTAGACCGTTGTTACGCAAACCTATAGGGGTGTGAAAGCAATTTTGTTAGTGAAAGGCCATTAACAATCCACACATTCCATTTTAGATGGTGTCATGACTGTGTCTCCACTTCACTGTTTGCCAGCTGACATTAGTCTGGCCTTTAAAAACTGTTGTGCATTAGTTTAAGCATGGACAGAATTAATAGGCTTAACATCCGAGTTGTGACGATGTACACTCATACTCCTCAGATTGACTTGGTTGTGGTGGCTAAATCTATTGGGCACTCTAACACTAAACATGGGAAGTTTTTGTGCCAATGCTATTCTTACAGTTGGAGGTCAAATTTATCATGCATCACAACAGCATTCAAACTTCAAATGTGTGTGAAAGTGTGTGTTCTTATGTGTGCCTTAAAAAAAAGCTGAGGAAAAAGTAGGATGTGTGCTCCAGTTGTTGGGTTTTGGGAAAAACCCCGACTGGGTGCAAGCAAAAAACCGAGCACACAAACAGCTCAATCTTGTCGCAAAGCTCATATTTTCCCTTTTGTGGTATCCAGCAGGAGACGCCACCCTCACGCACACAGCAGCACAGGCCACCACACACAGCAGGCTCGCTGTGTGGTGCACTGCGGCCACAGCGGCAGAGCCAGGTTGATAATGGCTTTGGTCTGGATCAGAACCGGTAATAGGATTAGTTTGGATCAGGACCCAGTAATTTGTCAGCAGCTGTGGCAGTCCATGTCTGAGCTAAAAACACACCAAAGAAAACTACACTTAAGATAAAATGCATGATTGTCTTTTTCGTCTGAGATTCACATGTTGTGGCTCATTGACAGAAGTAAAAAGGAGAATAAGGATGTCATGTCTCATTGACCATCATCTGTGTTTAATTAAAAGATACCAATTCTCCCATAATACTATTGTACCAATGCCAGTTTACGTGTTGTGTCTTCATATATACAGTATGTTCAATTGTATTTTTTGCCATATTTTATTATTAAAATAATAAATAGTGGAAATCACTGCAATGACAGCCTGCTGGTTCAGCCGCTCAGTTGGTACGAAAACTCGCACACAACCAGACACGCGCAGACATATGAAGGAGTTGCTGCTTCACTGCGTGACAGCCCGTCTCTTGGCTCTGTAATAATCACAGAGTTGTAGTACAGCAAAACATACAGGCATTACACTACACGCATCCATATGTATACCAACACACAGGCACAGCCAGCAGGAGAAACACACACATGTATTTAAACACATGGTGCTCACACACACACACACACACACACACAAAAACAAGGTTTCACCTTTGGGCATCAGACCACACTCTCTCAGGACAAGCGTGGTTTTTCTTTCCTTCTCTCTCGTTTTTTTTCTTTCAAGTATTGCCAGGGAACGTGTCCCAAACCTGTATGCTGATATTTTTACAAGACGTACACACACGCAGGGCCCCCCGCACATGCAGAGCCCTTGTTGACCTACATGTTGGCCCAGGCAGGCAGCCAGGGTGGACCTGATGGTGAATCTGGGCCACCGGCTCAAGATTTTAACTGCTGCCATCAATGGGCATTTACTGACGGAGACACCAACATAAATATGTTGTCATGAACACATGACATCAAATATAGCGTTATATATAGTAAGTATTTTTTGAAGCACCTGGAAGTGAAAGGACAACAATTCATCTTTTTGCAACAAAAAACTATACTACTTGGACACATTTAAATCTTTTTGAAATATGTAGACAATCTTTGCCTTTATTTCAAATAAACTTGATAAAGGCAATCTTAGTAAAAGATGACGTGAACGGCACATTTTCATTTCGACATGGAACCCCAAATTGAAGATACCGACAGGAAGAGGCCTTATAGACTAAACAAATAAACCTGAGAAAGCTAGTGACTGCTTACGGTTTCAGGCAGATGTGGTGGAAAATATTTCTCAAGACATAGAAGAGATGTTGCACCCCACAGACACAGTACACACAGTTTCATGTGCTATTCGCAAAGCCGGCCACAAGCACCAAACTGCACCATATGTGCACCTACCTGTAAACACATGCACAGACGCACACACATCCACAGGCATAAACTTTCCTACCACAGAAATTCTGATGTCTAATGTGGAGCCATTGGACAACTTTAACCACATTATCCATCTCACACACAGGAGCGAATCAATGTAACATTCATACAGAGCTTTTGGCTTGTATACGTGTGTATTGAGCAGTATTGGTACGTCTAGCCAGCCGCCATCATATCCGACCACACTCAGACAAGAGACATTGAAACAAAGTGTGTCGGTGTGTGTTTGTTTGTGTGCAATTCAAAACACTTTATATGAGTATAACCTACTTCTAATGCAGCCACTGGTGCATTTTATGCCCACAAGCGCATACACACGCACACACACATGCCCAAACTCACACATGTGTCGTGACATATGTTTAAACAAGCACTTCCTGGTGCACAGTGCTGGGTTGGAGCCTCTGGGTGATTTGTCAGCTTCAGCCTCAAGACCCTCACCCCTGAAATGAATGACACTCACACATCCACTTTTTTCATTTAGGGCTCCATACCTCTGGTTATGTTAACTGTTAGAGCAGCTGAATCTGTAGAATACTATGCAAAATAAAATTATTTCTTTTTAAAAACGTACTTTTTAAACTTACTTACTTTATGTTTCAGTAATTGTCCTTATAGTTTTAACCATTGAATTGCTAATAATGATGATGACACACTGACGATGACTACAATGCATTAATACACATAAACAGCTTATTTTTCCAGTTATCTGAATAAGAACTGCTAACTTAAGGTGCATGCACCCCTAATTAGTGTATGTTTTACACTGATTCAACTTCATATTCATCTTTTAGGTCATTGTTTGTAGTAATTTTGTACTGTAAGATTTACCCCTGATTTTAAAATGAATATGTATTATTCACTTTGTAGAAGCAAATGGTTATTTGAATCACTATAAATCCTCTTGCTTTTCATTTCATATATCCCTACATACGTTCTGTACAGGTACACGAGGGTTATACGTCAGACTCTCTTTCCCAGCAGGCACTGCCAGCATGACAAGTTGGGGGCGGGTCCGACTCAACCAATCATCTTCTTGAATACACGGAAGAGGGAAGTTCAGTTCGTTTACATCGCGGGACGAAAGCTTGGCTTCTTATCTGAAGATTTAAATTTGAATGGCTTCGCGTCTTGTTTACACGTAAGTCGACATTTGAAGCAGCAGTAGTTAACTTGTATACGACTGTAGCGTGATTCACGGTCACTAACTCGCCGCATGAAGTGACGGTTGTAAACAAGCCGTTAACGTTGGTTCACTTGTGGCGTGTTCGTGGAGTCGTGACGTAACTCAACCTACAGCAGTTATAACGTTACATCGAAGTTCTTTGGGCATTTTACATTGAAACGATTCATCGTATTGGCGACATTCTTTTAAATTGAAGAGTAGTAGAGGAAATACTGGCACCTGGTGGTGAGGTGTAGCTGTACGTTGGTACATTGGGGCGCGCGTGTGTGTGTGTGTGTGTGTAAGTGGTAAATGGACTGTACTTGTATAGCGCTTTTCTAGTCTTCCAACCACTCAAAGCGCTTTAACACTACGTGACATCATTCACACCCATTCATACACTGATTGCAGGAGAACCATACACAGTGACACCTGCCATCAGTAACTAACATCCACACACTGTAGTCGCAGTTACAGGAGCAATGTTGGGTTAAGTGTCTTGCCCAAGGACACAACGACATGCGGGTTAGCCGGGCCTAGGATCGAACCGACAACCCTCTGATTGGAGGACGACCATGCTCCCCACTCACCCACAGTCGCACCCAGGTGTGTGTGTTTGTTGAGTGTGTCCATTGCGTCAGATTGATCTAAATTAAATCCACCATTTGAACATCAACTCTGCATGTTAAAAAAAAAACCATTTCTTTGACGGTGAAGATCAGGGACGAAACGGTTCGATTTACTGATTCATTCTCTATCAAACAACAATGTCCAAACACCAATTTTCCACTATCTCAGATGTGGTTGTTGGGAAATCAGTACTGCTGCCAATGGAGAAAATTAATTGGCAGAATAATTCAAAATGAAAATGGTTGATTTGAGACTTCGATTGCGTTTTTGCCATATTTTCTGACGATTAGAAATGACAAACATCTGTTAATCACAAGCAGCTAGAACAGTTTCTCCACTCATTTATTCAAGCGTCTGATAAATGTTGCTTTGCAGTGGCTGTGTATGTTCATAAATAATGTTCATCATCTCATTAGCCTGAAATCAATTTAACAAAACGGTTCATTTTATGGCTTTTATTGAGACAGGCTTTTCTCTAATGTAATCCCTGCCTTCTTAACTAACATACGGAAGTAAGTTTGTAGAAAGTGATTTTTAAACTGATTTGATTATACTGAAATAATGTCAACAATCGTATAATTGGAACAGCAAACTGACTCTTACCCAAAGTACACACGCTTAGTTTAACAAATCTTTAATAATAATATTTGACCAGTCACATCTCGTTCCTTCTCCAGAATGTGTTCAGCAAACACCAAAGCTGCTGCAGAGTATGTTTATATGCATTTGCATTTTTATATTTTTGCCTAATTGACGTGCATTTACGCCAACAACGTTGTGTAAATTCAGTGTATGCTCATGTATTTATGCAACTGTCTGGACCCTGAGACTAGGTATTCAGCGTGCAATTCTTTTCCACCTATGCTTTAGTAAAACCTGAACCCTCAACACAAGTCAACAAGAGGCGTTTGTTCCTAATTTGGTTGAGCGTTTTTTCCCCCTCTGAAAATGGGCATTTATATATTCACATCGGCGAGCCGCAGGGGCTTTCCAGCAGAGATGATGGCAAGACATTAAACAAATCGTGTGTAACAAGATGATCATAAAACACAACCCTGTGGTGTCTGACACAGACATGTCATTATGGCAAAAAACAACACGCACACTCTTTTTGGGCCACATACAGACACGACTCACATCCTCATCCACACCCTTGTGCCCCCCCCCCCACACACACATGCCCCCCACCCGCGTTATACTGCTCATCATCATAAAAGGTGAGGAATGTGCTGTTTATTTCACAGTAGGCCTTTTTATTTGTGTGGGGGGGGGATTGTTAGATTGTTGTAATAAGAGTTGAACAAGATTACCTCAATATGCTTCAATTTGTGTTCTTATTGCTACTTCCATTTTGTTACCCACTTCTAGCAGTAAATTGTTTATTTTGAAAATGATTTCCTTAATCTTTGCTATTGTGAAATACATGTTTTGTGCTTTTATATATAGATACACTTAATAGGTATTTCAGATTCAGCAGCCATTATTTCATGTAAGAATGGGTTTCTGTTGACTTGAAAACAGGCTTTTAATTCATGAACGTAATCACATATTGTGGTTGAGTGTGAGGCTGTAAATAACCTCTTCTGCTATTAATCACACTGTGGTCGCTTTACCACGTGGTTTCATCCCCAAATGCTCATGCGTCATTTCTATTTTCGTTATACCCTCATTTTAATCATGTACTTCTTATTATTTATTTTTGTCACAGTCTATACTTTTCTGTCTGCTGTATTGTATATAAGTATTGCTTTTCTCAAAATTGGTTGTACCCTGATTGTGCCTTTTGATTTATACAATAGGTGTAGAAGCTTTCCTTAAAAGTAAAATAATATTTTTGTTAAATGTAATAATTATTATGAATTTACAAGGTACAAAGCTGGGCTAATAAAAAAAATCTGTTGAAACTGCAATTATACGTTTCATTTTGAAGGAAAGTCTATCTCACCGTGTAAGCGAAAGATGATTATTGATGGATTTTTAATTATTCGTTTTTTGTCTGAACCTTGACAATGGACTTGCTCTTTGCCTCACTTAGGATCCTGCTTCGTTCACAAGTACGTTCACCTGGACGAAATGTCTCAGCCGCAGCCACTGATCCAGCTCCCACAAACAGCAGAGCGCGCGCCGAGCGCCGGGGAGCTGCGGTTCTGGCTGGACAAAGCGGTGTGTTGGGGCCAGGCTGACGGCCCAGACGCTCGCAAAGACGCCTCCCTGCATTTGAGCAGACTGAAGGATTTCCTCCAGCAAGTCCTCACACATATCAACAACATGGTGAGCAGATGTAGTGATGTTGTGTGTTCACATGTATTTTTTTTTTAGTCGACGCAATGCAGAGGGATGCTTTAGGATTACATTTTTCATTTAGCTGATGCTTTTATGCAAAGAGGGAACAGGCCCAGAACAACAAGTACGGTACAAGTTCTTCAAGAAAGCCAAACTTCATTGATAGCTTCATAGTCCTGACAGATATGCACATTCACTTTACTTCCCAAATGCCCGTTAAGCCCAATAAAATGGTCCGTATCCCCTAAGAGGCCGGTTTTACAGTCCTGACACCTTACCAAAAGAAATAAATTAAATCCGTTGAATCAGTTTGGCCAAACTGCCGTCCGACGTTAATTCAAGCACCAGCACGTCTAGCGCACACACACACACACACGCGCACAAACATGCAGGGCACGCGCTCACTCTGCGTCCAGGCCGGGGCACGAACAGTAAGTCCAGCGTTGGTAGAGTCCTGCTAACAGAGGCCGCTCTGTGCTGTGCAGAGGCTGCGTATGTCGGCTTGGCAGCGCTGCCGTGTTGAGTCAGTCAGGTAATAGCCGCATTGGGACCTCCAGCGCTAACCTAATGTATCCCCGCATCAGGTCCAGCAAATTTGGGAAGGGGGCTGAGGACATGAGGGGCGCAGGACTGTGAGGGATTTCAGTGTTACCACGTCCTTGCCTCCTCCTTCCAGCTCTTTTCCCTCAGGGCTTTCTTTCTTTCTTCTCACATATCTCACTCACTTAATGCATATCTCTTTTTCTCCTCACGTAAGAATCACTTTCTTGTTAGTGCTGCGGTCCTGGAGCTCTTTCAGACATAGCACCCATATGTTTTACTGTAACACTGTGGTAACGGTTAGAATCAGTGTGTCCGGGTGTCTTACGTTGAACTTCCTAGCCACATTATCTTTGGAGATCAATAGCTGTTATTTGTATCTGTCTGTGTGCTTCTCTGCTAGCATTATTCCGGGTATACGTCATGCAGAGGTGTCAGCATGTGTAGGATGGTGGCGCGGATACAAAGACGGAAAGAAAGAATGGTATAGCTTAATTGGGTTGAAATCATTTTTACTGGCAGTGGGCTCATAAAAGTCCAGCTGAAGATAGCCTGCTTCTTGGCAGCGTTGTCCATCCTTTGATGACTTAACAACTGCTCATGTGGCTTATGCCCCAAGATGAGAAATACTCCCAGTTATGATTCATTTCCAGGTTTGCACTTGGTTTTCGGAAAAGTGCAGGAAGTTTCCAATTTTGATCGCATAATAAATATTTTGATGTTTTTTTTTTTTTTTTTTTTAATTTGCTCGTCTGCTCTCCTACTGAGAGTGTGATTTAATAACATGTGGCAGCACCTCTGCAGCTCACTAATTAACATGTTGTATCTGCCCGCTTTGTCCGAACAAGTGGTAAGGCCCAGAAACTTCCTCTAGTCTCCAATAGCTCGTCCCCCATAAAAGTCACCCCAACTTAACTTAATAAAAGTTGTTGCTAACTCACCTCAACCTGATGTGCTCACCATTGTAACTTTTATCGGAGTGTTCCTCTGAAATCCTCCAGTGATTTCAGGAACAGAAGTTCTTCCCCACCAAGATGCATTGTCTTAAATTGTCTAAAAGTCCATTTATAATTGAGGACAATGTTGGTCCTGATGGTCATAGGTTACTTACTTTTTCAGAGAAAATTCAAAACTGAAATTGACAGATATTCAGGATCAAAGGATTTTGAAGTTCCTAAATACAGTGTTTGTCCCCTCTTTAAACCCTCTGGATCCTTTAATTGGCTGTGAGGTGAAATAAATCACATGTTGTTTGAGCTGTATAAAGAAGCACAGACACACACATACTTAAACTGTCAGGGGCGTAGCACCCTCACCCAAAGCCCCGGTTCTGCGCTGTATACCTGTCACTAGGAAGACTGTGGTTGTAATTGTGACATGACAAAAATAAGGGAAAACAAAGGTGATGCATGAGTAATGCCCCACTTCCATGCACCTGTGGATGGGCCTGCTGTTTAACTTCATATCCTTAGCCAATGAAGTAGACTTGTGACCTTCTCGTGTTACATGTTGTGTCTCTCGGGGTTGATTAAGGTTAACAGGATCAAACAAAGGAGGACGAAATGAGAAGGTGCAAATATCTATATTACAGTCCAACATTGAAGGAAGGAAATCTCATTTTTTGAATTGGTTCTACTTGTTTAATGTGTGATTATATGCCGGATGGGAAAAAAAATGACTGTTTTTGTGCCTCCACCTCAAAGAACCGACCCAGTGAAGTTATAATGCAGCTCAAAGGTGTAGGAGTATAAAACCTGTTGACCACTGAACCCCTTTCCTCCTGCCTGTGGCCGTCTCCCTTATGCACCCTAGAGCTCCACAGCAGAGACGTTGAAGAGGCTGCCCCTCCTCGGCCAGTTTCTGGGGCGACTCTGCTGGAACCCGTATGTCACTGCTGATGGTGAGTGCACCGTGGGGGAAAACTTTAACTCTGCATTCGGGAATAGCGGACGGATCCTGTCTCTTTACAAGCATGAGTCATTCTGATGCTTATAATCTGTGTAAAAGGGGTGTGATATTACAGCAGAAATGTCTCGCCGTCTGCAGCTACGGGCAGAAGGCTGCTGCTGCAGTGTCTGTGGGGACTGTACTCGGAGCATCCAGGCAATGCTGTGGAAAGAACAGCTAACCAGTGGATTCGGGTATGGACTGGCCTCTTTCTCTGTCTGTTCATAGTCAACAAGTAGACTTTGATTGGGGGCTATTGTTTTAATATATCATTATTGGTTTTAGAAGAAAGTGATTCGTGATAGCTTTTACCTGCCATTTATTTCTATCTAAGGACAGTAACTGGACACTCTCAATTTAAGTTAAATTTCGGATCAAGAAAAAAATAGAGCTTTAGCGCACAGATTTCTTCTGAAGTTAATGCGTCAAAACATAAAGTGAAACCTCCATGCTGTTTATGTGTGGACCTCACCTGCATTGTCACTCTCTATCTCACGTAGCTCTATGCTTCTGTCATCTCTTTAATACACGTGCAACATTCTTTGAAACACCACAAACAAAAGGAATGGGGCTGGGAATCTTTTGAAATATTTTGATAGATATGCTGCTGATTATTTTCCCATGATAGATAATTAATTTCTATTGTGGCGCTGAAATAAAAGTTTTTTTTTAGTATTTTTTTTTTTTTTAGTAACTCAAGCCTTGGGATCTAGTTCACGGGTAAGGGGAAGGTGGAGCGACAGTAGTGATGCGTGCGAGCCGTTGAGCCCGACAGGCAAATTGCTTGATTTCCCCGGTCGGCGGCAATCCCTCTCCTCTCCTCTCCTCCGGTCATTAGCGTTGGGTAGTGACCGAAAGAAGTGGATCACGGAAGCAAGCGGACAGATTGAGCTTGATTTTGTGCTGTGTCTGCACTCAGCCCAAAAGCTCAGGGCCTAGTTGAAGTGGGACGGCCATTCAAAGATCAGGATCGGCACATCCAACCAGTAAGAGGCCGCGGGGTGGAAGCAGAACATGTTGGAGAGGATGGATACTCTGGTCTGGGAACGCTTTGGGGTTCCCCGGGAAGAGATGTAAAAAATGTATGTTTATTTCCACATTAGATCCGGAATGACCGGACAAACAGATTGATTGTAGTCCATTAAATACCCTGACAGACTAAAATGATCTGTCTTTGGGCCGCTGAAGAGATTTGCTGTCTAATTTAATTTTAATAGGAGTTTTCTTGCTAGAACTGCTTCTCCTCCCCAATGGGACGGGGATGATGAACGAGGCAGATTGGGTCTCTGTTAGTCTAACCCCTTTGCGCACAAAACTCAAACTGTAAAACACATTTTGAAAGCAGATTGGAATTGACCGTTTCACTGCTCCTTGTCACCAGAGAAGGATCTGAAGGACCTTCCTATTGTAGTTAGTATTTCTTGCTCACTATGATTTTCACTCACACAAAGGAGGGAAAGAGAACAGAGGGAAGAAAAGATTCTGCAATTTTCAACTTCGAGAGGGTTCACACAGATGGCTCATGATAAACAATGTGGAATTTCTTTTCCACATTTTTGGCAGGTTAACCGTGTTTGTATTCTTTTGATTAATTTCTCATCCAATAAAACATCTCGCTAATTAAAACAGTGCCTTGAAAGTAAAGCTTGAATTTGCCAGATGGTCTTAAGAGGGGAAGCAAAGTGCATGTGTTGTTGGTGTCTGAGTGTACATTTACATTGATATGTTTTATTTGCAATCAAGGGAAGAGAATCTATATTATTATGTTGGTTAACCTCAACCCCCTCAAAAAGAACGTTTTACTTCCCAGGTTTATGTTAGAAGATTTGAAGGAAGCGTTGACCAAAAAACTGCGAGAAACTCTTCAACAGGAGCCTCTTCTCCGCTGAGCCTTAGTCAAACAACACGAGCCTTTGCGAAGCGTTCAGGTTCAAAGTATGTTTTTAACATTGTACAGTAGTTAATTGTAGCTGAATGCTCATGATGAATCATTGAGGGACAGTCAAAGGGTTCACTAACAATGGCATGCAGGATAAAAGTGTCGACTACTGCACAATAAGGTCACCGCAAACTCTACAGCTCGTCCTCCTCACATCTCCTCCAAAGAAGCTCCCCCCCCCCACCACAAATGACGAGAATGGCGGGAAGCACAGCGTGGCAAGTCCCGTCTGGGGGAGCAGTGGAGATGTATGGTTTTAGCCCAGAGAGGGTCTGTCTCTGTGTGTCTCTCCCTGTGTCTGCGTTATGTTGGACTCCCGGTCCTGGAATGCAGAGTGCGGCCTGTTTTCTGTTAGCGCTGCCTGATCGTGCACCCCAACGTTGTTTTTCACGCTGCCTTCATAATAGACTGAGGGCACCCGAGTACTGTAATTCTGTGCATGTGCTGGAATATGTACGCGAGTATTTGGGCAAAAACACGTGTTGTACTGCTACTGTATAGATACTGTTGGAAGCCACATGTATTTTTCTCCCTAAATTAGGATAACGTGCAGAGTATTTTGCCTTCTGGCCCTCGTGCCTCCCGTTCTCCCCTCCCTGTCTGCCTCTCCTCTCCACATCTGAGTTTTGTCACGGGGTTTGATGAATGCCGGGTACAACCACGTAGCTGCAGGCTATGTCAGCGTGGGTGACCACACAGTGCTGAAGCCAAATGGCTCTTTGGATCCCTGGATCTTTGAAGAGACGACAGATGAGTAAAGAGAATATTAGAGGGCCGGAAGATGGCTGGTTTGAAGGCTTAATCTTCGCTGACTCAGGCTGGGTGAACCACAGGTGGGCCCTGGGGCTGCTGTGGCGGCTTTGTTGTTGGAGGTGGACTGTTGTTTTTAATTTGGAGATGACAATAAGGGATCCTCTTGGGTGGCATCTCTTTCTCAGAAAATAGGACTCACTGCAAGTAGTACTGATGTTTATTCTTTCAGGGTTTTATTTTCTTCAAATCTAAGGAATAGGTCAATGTTTTAAGAAATTATGATTTTTATAGTGAGTAACATGCTTTATCCTTTACGTAGCTACCAAAATACAGGAGCATTGTCTTGTGAGTTCTCTGTGGCTATAAGTAGACGCGGCACAAATGCTGGGCAAACATGCTTTTTTTTTATATATCATATCATTATCGTATATTATATTTTATTTTTAACTAACTAAAAGCCAGGCTAACCATTTCCCAACGCTACCACATTCACACTAAGCTAGGCTACTCTTCTATATGTAACATATATGCACAGGAGTGTTGTTCATAAAGAGTGGGAATAAGATCAAACTATTACATAATTATCACAGTTTTACCTTGTATTTGTCATTGTGTCATTTGGACACGCTCCTATTTCAAAGCACAATTTATCACCCAAATACAAAAAAGAACCACAAAAAGCAAGTATCTGTAAGCAGCCATCCTTTCCAAATAATTGTGAAAATATTGTTTTTACATTTTGCATTATGTAGTTTACCTCAAGTTCATGTGGTCAAAGGATTATAGATTTTATTTATCATGTTTGAAGTGACACTTTTCTTCAATGCGCACAATGTCAGTGCACAGACTTCTAGTTACTTTATTATTTTGCATGCTCATCCTTTTATTGACTTTTTTTCCCCCCCTCATTTTATCGCTATTGTTTTGACCATCTGAGGCTGAACTAAGACTTTCATTGGCTTTGGGAGAATTCAATCATCAGTAATTGTTAACAGGCACTCATCAGAACCAACCCCACTATGCTTTGTGCCTTTTTCTCCTTTTAATTTTACATTCATTGAGGGATCTGTTCTTCGGCCGCAGCATTTCCAAGACCCCACAAGCCAGCCAGCTTGGTTGCTGTGAAAGAAACGATGACCTTTACTCCGAAAGTATTTGCCGTCCATTGATTACCTCTCTTCGCCCTTCCTTTTAACCAGTTGTCCTTCCCTCTCATTTCCCCCCCGGCCCCACTGTGCCTCCTTGCCGAGGGTGTAATACGTGTGATTGGTTTTGTATGTACTCAACGTGCAGCGTTTGGAGGCTGCTCAGATGGTAGTGATTGGGGTTATTTTGTCAGCCTATGTGGAGGGTAAGCATCTTCGCGTGCTGTAGAACTTTGGCCAAAGAAACCGCAGAGCTCCACCAACAGCGCTGCAGTGCTCTTCCAGCTGGGATTTTGTTTTGTACGCCTTGACTTTGTTTTTTGTTTTGTACATATTGTGCAACTCTCAATCCCTTTCTCTCCTCCTCGTGTTGACATCCTTCTAATCTGTAGTTTGTACATTTTCGGTATACTCTTAGTGGTGTGTTTTCTTTTCTGTTTTGGGTGCAGTGGAGTTGTAAAAACAGATGCGTGCTGAAGATGTGGAGCCTCGGCTGTTTCTGTTGGATCACACTTTTCAACTAGTACCAGTGAATCATCTTAATGTCATTAAACAAAGTCTAAATCTGTCCATAATTCAAAGAAACACCTATTTTTGAGTGAATATCGATGAAGGCAAACCTTGTTAAACATAGTTTATTAATCATAAGACAACAACGCATCTTTTGTTATTTCTAAGAATGTCTTCCTTGCAGCATATTTGTTGATAAACGCCATAGTTCAAGGCAGAGAGCCTCTCATGTAAGATTAAAACATACAGTATGGGTCTAGTTTCCCCTCTGCTGTTCCTTAATTATGACTCCCTTTCTCACAGACGAGATCAGCAGAGTTTATGAGTCTAGTTTTATCAGTGTATGATGAGGCCCCTTCTGAAAAATGCTTGTAAAACACCAAGGCCCTGTGTAACCAAGAATGTTCATTTCTCAAGTTGCTCATGTGCCGTCCATACATTCTCCCTTACTGAAATGCCTTCTCTCCACTCATGCGGTACAAATGATGCAACGTCAGCAGAGTCATCCTATACTCCAGTAACTCATTAGCTTTGATGTTGGGAATCTATGGGCCCAGGCAGATTGCATTTAAGTGTATTACAATCTGCTATAGATGTACATATACGATGGCAGTAATCAGCTGCACATTATGTCGCCGGCCCTCCCACAGAAGGTGCTGTGTCAGCTTGCTACAGAGGAAGACGACGCGCAGGCGTTGATGAAGAAAATGGATATTCCACCGAAAGATTACCACCTCGAGGTTCTGAGAAAGGTATCAGCCTTTTTCTTTTCAGCATTGATAAATAGTGTAATAATGTTAACATACACGCGAGTCGTGCTCCTTCCTTCATTTCAGATGGTGGCACTGCTGCAGAAAAGCATTGGGAAGAGCTGCAGTTGTTTGGGTGACACGAATCAGAGGTACAGCACATAATAAATAAGGTCTCTCACATACAGATACATTCACAATGCATTAACCTGCTGATTATTTTCTCAAAATATGTTTGGCCTATAAAATGTCAAAATATTAGTAACAATCATCACAGTTTCCCAGATCCAAAGATGATGTCATCGTCTGTTTTGTTTGGCAAACCTACAGACTCAGTTATTCCATTTACATGCAATTAAACAGAGAAAAAAGCATGGCTTCTTGTTTATGAAGATGGAAACCAAGATGTTCTGTCTTTTCTCTTTTTCCCATTCATAATGAGTTCCAGATAATATAGATGTTTTTTTCTGTTACTCTGTGCAGGTGTGCGTGTGACAACATTCTGGCCACGTCGGAGGCTTGTGTCCCCCTGGTCACTTGTCCCGAGGCTGCTCCTCTCATTAGTGCACTGCTGCAGCAGCAAGTGACCTGTGTGAGGGCAGCACTTAGTGAAGACTTCCTGGATGCTGTTAGCTCCGCCTACTCCAGGTCATAACATATGATTTCAGCATTGTGTCCAAACATCTATATGCCGCTCATGTTTTGATCGTGCCGTTGCTGTTTCTTGTTGTGTTTTCTAGCCGGTGCTTGTCATTGGAGGAGCAGGCTGTCGTCTCTCTGTGGTGTCACAACCTGCCCAGTCTGGAGGAAGCAGTGCTCCGTTTGCTGGACTGTGCTCTCACTTACTCTGGCCCAATCCCACAGAAGCAACTGGAACAGTCACTACTTGTGGGTACTTTTCTGCATTGAGGACTGATAAAGTAATATAACGTAATCAACACCAAATAGGCAGCACTTATGACCTGTTGATATGCAGTTTGTTTAATGCTATTTTCACTATCAATTAATATACTGATATTCTGGATTAATTCTATAATTTATAAATTTAATTGAAATGTTTGAAATAATTTACACATTTCAGATCACAACTCCTTAGTTTTCAAATAGCTGGTTCTTTTAAAACCGCCTTGGTGATATCGTGCCGTGCGCTCCTGGGAACCCGTGATTCAAGTCATCTTTTTAATCCATGCACAGCTACTTTGACAACATCAATATGGGAAGGAAGACGTCCTTGTCAGCCAAGCATGCACTTCTTTGGTCTTTGGTATTTTAATGAATTGGCAGCACTCTCGATCAATTTAATGTTAAGTTGCTGTTGTTAAATGGTTGTTAAATTTTGTTATGTACATAGTTCGACTCATCTGCCCTGAATTAGGGACTAGATTCTCACATTAGGAATCACTGCCCGTTCCGTATATTTATAGCTCCCCTTTGAAATGATTTGTAAACTGTGAAACCAAACAGACTGAGTATAGGGCCTAGCCATTCATTATGAGGTATGGCAATTGTAATGTTTATGTATGCATTGTACTTGGAAGCGTTCCTTTGCTTTTTGGAGGATCTTTATTGACTGTTTTGGGCTGGCTAACTTCAAACACCATTTGGCTTTGCTCGCAACCCACATCATTTGGCGAACTCTAAACTGCATCTCACATCATTTGGCTTGTTCTACACAGCCTTTTCTGTGCTGAGTATATACTGAACTATGCCACTCCAGTCCTTGGCCTTTCATCACTTCGTTTAACTTTTAACTAAGATCATGCCGTGAAAATGCAATCAGAAAATACCAGCAGTGTTTTTTGTTTTCCTCACTTGGCCACCAAGGGTTGTTTTCTTTCCCACTAGAATATGTTGGACATATTAGTGCAGCCATTGCAAAAAACGAATAATTAAATGTGTCACTGAAACTAAACAATTAAAGAAATCACAAATGAAACACTTAAATCAGGTGGAACTGCAGAACTACAGATGGAATTTTATTTATTTTTTAATTCCCATAGTCAGCATGACTCAACAAACTAAATCAAAGTAGACTTGTTTGGTGCCAAACGTTTATGGCATGCAATACAATACGGCGAATGCAATTCTACAGTATTTACCTAGATTACCGAATGTCTTTGGTGGCGAGGAATGTCATTGAAACAGGTATTTACCTGCCAGTTTTCCTCATGTTGACTTCAGTAAAGTTTGTCAGTTGTGTCACTTGTGTTTTCCTGCAGTGATGGTCCACTTAAACTGTGTACATAACAGACTCACAACGCACGGTGTGCAAGAAAATCCCTGCCTGTTGTTTGCACTTTAGGAGCAACAATATTGGAGGGAGGAATTCTGTTAAGTTAAATCTATTTGTGTTTGTGTGTGCGTGCGTGTGACAGAGAGGCAACAGCAGACTGTTTACATCTCTGTCCCACCATGGATCGGATTTGTTTACCCTCTCATCCATCTCTGATTGACCTCTGTTTTTATCACCGAGCAGCTTCACACGCACATGTGTGCATGCAAACCCTCACACACACACACATACACACCTCCAACCGCCATGCTTTGTTTAGGAAATTGCATCTGGTATGGCGTGTCTGTCGTTAAAAGGGTAGGAGGCACACGTTTAGGTTTCACTTAGCCTTCAGGTTGTTTGGAAGTCAGATGTGCGTTTCACATGTGTCTTCGTTGGTGCACACATGTGCAAGAGCAACAGAAGAGAGAAGAGGCGTGTGAGCCGACTGGCTTTTGTCTCCTCTCGCCTCCCTTTCACTCGCATGTTTAAAACTGCAATCAAAATGGTGAAACGTGAAATAAGGCTCACATTCCTCGATTTGGCTCCGCCACTCTGTGATCTAGAGAGAGACCGGCCCAGTAATAATAAACACTCACTTCCTGGGCCTTACTACCAAAAAACAGGATGTTTGTTGTGTGCTGTAATTGACCCTCCTGGAAGTGTTAGTGGTAAGGTATGGAGGAGGATGCTAAAAAAAACCCATCTGTTTTCACTAGGGGGACCACGGAGTTTGCCCACATGCATGCACGCTGGCATGCACGCTGGCATGCAAGCATCATCACATTTTCCCAGACGCCCGCGTACTTGTACGGCACTTTTTTGTTTGATTAATACTGTTTTCTGGCGTGAGGACCAAAAGGAAACGAGACATGTCAAAATGGAAGATGAAAGCACACTATTTGTATGTTGGAACGTTGTAGTGACACCATATAAAAAACGGGGGGGGGGTTATTCGTATTGACCTCACAAAGACCCTAATTTCTCTTTTACTCTGGCACTTTTACAATGACATCTGCAGTTCAATATGTGCCTCGACCCGTTTACAGAACCAGGTTGGAGACTGGTGGTACATTGTTGGCCCTGATGTACTAAAAGCATTAACTAACATACATTTTACCACATTAACTACTGACACAGATGGAAGGTTTTTAATTGGCTGTCAAATAAATGGAAAGCTAGTGCTCCTTTCGATCTTCTACTGGAATGCAGTGTGGGATTAAAAGTCTGTGAGAAGATTACTTGTGTTCCTCCAATATGGAAGCACGTGTGTGTATATATAAGAGTGTTGGGGGGATGAGAGGGGGAATAATTGGGACTCGAAGATATATATAAATGCGCCGAGGGCAGACACAAAGAGTGCACCTGCTATATGTTTACGCTTGGGCCTTTTAGAGTGTGTTGAATCTGAAACACACGAGTGTACATTAGGCGGAGATGAGAGAGTAAGTGTGTGGGGTTTGAAGAAGTGACAGTGGAAAACTGAGTGGATAATGGGGAGAAAGCGAGAGCAGGGAGGGAACCACGACTGGATGGAGCTTTGTAGATGAGGCCACAGTGACACACAGTGGCCAAGATTGGGTGGTTCGTGTTCTCGAATTTAGTAAGAATGGAACAGAGATGTTTCAGCGTGAGTTCGCTGTAAATTCTGGATTGCACGTGTAGGCTTTTAATATCTATAAATATATATGACCAGTTTTTTTTGTGTTTGTTTCAGCCCAAAGCCTGTGCTCAGCACTGCTCTATATTCTTGGTTGTAAACGACATCTTCAGGTGAGTGCTGGTGTGTCACTTTAAGGTTGTTGGTTGTGTTTTTGTCTAGAGAAGTGTGTATTATTCGCATAATGGTTTGTGTGTTCCACAGGTCCATACTAAAACAAGCCGACGGAACAGAGTGTGTTAAGTATTTCGTGGGAGCCTTTACCGGCTGCTTCCTCAGGGAAGTGGCGCTGCAGCAGCATCAGGTACGCCTCCACTTCTCAATCAAAGCCTTTCCATTTTCATTTATCGATTATTGTTTTGGTTCATAAGGGGGTTTGATTATTTACATTTTTGTCTGTATGATTTTATGGATTTGTCTGATCAATGAATGAACTGATCTTTGCTTTTACTTATAAATATCTTATAAGTCTTAATCCACTGATTAACGTGTGGGTAGACAAAACAATCCATGTCAAAACAAATCAATCCTCTACGCCATTATAAATTTGTGGTTTTATTTGTACAAAAGTTATTACCCAATGTGTGGAAACCCGTGTGAGCTCAGCTGTTACAATGAGGTGCCACTGTGTATTTTTCAACTTTTACTCTCAGCCCCCACAGACCCTTTCACATATACACAAGTCTGTTGTAGTTCAATCCGCCGGTCCCTGGTGAGCGTAGAGGACTTTCTGCCCACTCACCTGTGAGCCATTAATGTCAAAAGGCCAGAGGGCACATGTGTTACCACGTAGGTTTTACGTTTTACCCCGCTGACCCGTTTCCTGAATTTTGCTGAACTCCTCTTCGCCCCTGTTAACCAGTAGGTGGCAGTGCGATGGTGTATTTACAGTAGAGTCTGTTTTAATGGCTGTAGTCACGCTGCACTAAACGCTACCTATTACATGCAACATTACACATTAGCACCTACTGTATCACTGTTACACAGACTCCCATTCAAAGTGCCATTTTTCAGGCTTTCAGAGCAAAGCCGCCGATGACTTCAAGGTAAATATGATTTACGTTTGTGAAGCTCAGGAAAGTGTGTGTTTTGTGTTGTTTCAGACGAGTGTGTCTTTGAAGGCCATGTTCCCACAGTCACCTCAGAGCCTGCTGCTTCCTCTCTTGACCCGGCCAACAGGTCAGTGCGTTAATACACACTCATGCGTGTGTGCATGGGTGCGTGTGCGTGTGTGTGTATCTGACTCTGTACAAAACCGCCCATTGTCAGAAAAGTTTTTTTTTTTTTTCAGGTATTCTTTAACTGTGTGTCAACAAAGGTTTCCTGCTGCAGACTGAATGGACACTTGTGTGTCTTGTTCTTGCCAATCAATTTGAGTTAGTCAGCAACTGTGTTTTAAGTATTTTATGTTGGATATATAAGTTAAAACAAAGTGGAACAGAAGTTACGCTTAGTGTCGTTAACTCTTTCATTTAGCTCCTTGTTTTTTTTACTAGATCAATTTGTTGCGAACAACTGACTCTCTTTGTCTTATACAAACACTACTGGAACTTATTATTATATAAGAGTATATTTGATCCCCAGTGATTATGCGTTACCGTTGTTTATGTATAGGAGTCGTTCTTGTTGAACAGTGGAGCAGCGCTCATCGGTGTGTTCCCACAGCGGCCTGTAGGCAGCAATGATTTACATGAGTGGAGACATTTGGCGACACTTTGGAGCCCGAGCACAGTTAATAATTACTGTGTATGTGCGCGCGGTGAAGAATAATGAAGGATACTGTGAATAGTAGAAGGTTTGGGGGTCCTAGCATAGCTTTGTTAACGTAAGGGGGAAGACCTGGATCAAAATACCGAACATTTGGAATATTTGTTTAAAATTATTTGTGAACCTAAATTGTCAGTGAGATGGAGTTATTTCAACAGAAACATCCATTTGTTTTACCCTTTATAGTTTTCTGCATCGTATCCGATTAATATTTCAGGGCATTATGGAGGTTGCAGCAAACATCTCAGAACGGGGAAAGTGAGTTTTGCCTCCGGCTGCGTTCTGCAGGTGAGCAGAACGGCGGACTCTGGCCGGTGATATCGTCGAGCAGTGGAAACCGTACTTAGAGCAACTCTTTAACCGGACCACAAAGTCCTCTAGACGCAGAGGAAGACCCATCAAAACCGTGAAAGTGGAGCGGCTCTTCATCCTGGCTTGGTCTACATGCATCTTATCACTATGCCTAATGGACGCTACATGGTTTTCCATGCGCGTCAAACTAATCCAGAACACGCGGGAGAGATTATATGTCTTGTATTGCTTGAGAACGCCTCAGTGTCCCCCACAAAAAGCTGTAAAATGTCGCTGGGGAGAGGGACGCTTGAAATTCCTCGCTACGCCTGCTGCCCCCACAACCCGGCCCTGGATAAGCAGAAATGAAAATGGAATGAAAAACCCCCAGTGTAAAATAACACTAACCCCCCCCCTTTTCTCTCTCTCGAGTGATAACGATATTTTTAACTTTTAGCAAATAAAGAAAGGCTTTTCCTTATGTGAATGCTAATTGATTTGATACGTGCTACAAGTAATCATTGTGTCTGTGTTCTATGTAAATGTTTCTGCAGAGATGCCTCAGCAGGCCTGGAGACGTCACCTGATCTGGCTCAGCAGCTCATTACAGAGACTGACACAGGAGGAAGAGCACGGAGACGACAACAGCAGCAGATCAGGGTGAGAAAGGCTTGCAGAGGGAACGTGTGAATGTGGGTCTGCATCCACCACCTCACTCGACGCCCCTGTGCTGGTCTTATTTCCATTAACTGCTGTTGAGGGGGTGGTTTGTCAGATATTTCCCCCTCGCATCGCAGCAGAGAGGTTTTTGGGCCAGTGCTTGGAGGCTGTTAGCTCGGGAAACACGGAGCTCTGTTGAGAAAGCCCAAAGAGAGTAAAAAAAGTAAAGCAGGAGAAGAACTGGAGAAACGCTGAGCGGGGGTAACCTTGGTTGTACGAATTTCGAGGGAAAGGGGATGAAAAGCAGCTGCCGTCCCAGAGATGCAGACGGCTGATTTGATACACTCCTGCTGCGCATTTTAACAGGGCCCATTATCCCCACTACTGCTCCATTCTCCAGGAGAGAATCCCAGAACATCGTTTCCAGCCAAAGGTGTGAAAGTAGTGGGTTGTGTTGCTCTGAGCCAGTAGACGCAGCTGCCAGTGCTCTGTAGGTCGCTGCTGCGAAGAGAGACCTTTACGTCCATCGTGCTATCTCCAAATAAGCACATGTTTCTGACTTTGTACACTTCTCTGCGATCCAGGTTTTTAATTTATTAATATGGTGCGTGTAATGGTGTCATTTTTTTCCTATGAAAAATTTGCAAATAATAGTTTGTAAACTAAGAAAGGGACAGATAATAAAAATGTGCTGTTTGGAGGCTAAAACCCATATGTAGAATAACAAAAATGTATTTACATTTGCTGCCTCATTACAAAAATGAGGCAGCTGATTCTATTTCTGACAAGGACCAGAAAATATTTAACATTGTTTCTAGGAAATCTAGAAAGTCATCTCCGCTTTTGTCATTCTCTCACTTGTTTCTGGCAGGACTGTGTTCAATCTCTTGTAGCTCCGATTAAAAAGAAAGTTAAGTATTATAAATGTAAATAGCTTTAGACAAAACACAACTCGTCTAAACTTTGTACTTTAAGATGTTGCTTAGCATAAAAGCATACCATTCTTTGTGAATTTGATCACTACTGTCCCTCAGTGTGATGATATCTGAGATAAACAATTCAAATTCAGTATCTAATTGTGAAATTCAGATGTGTATTAAAGCTCTTTGTGATGGTCTTTTGTTCCGGTCAGCGGGACTGGACAAACATTCCTGGCAGACAATCTGAACAGTGGCTCGTTAATAAAGCTATTATGATGTAAATGACCCCAGACAGCCTGTTAATAGATGGTGTGTGTGTGACACAGGAAACCAAATCATTTCCATCCAGATTTTGATGAAACAAAATCCACGTTTCATAATCCATTTTTCAAAATGTATTAAAAATACCTCCACTCTCTGTCATTTATGTTATTAAGTGAGTTTCAAATAAAACGACTGTGTAAATGTGTATAAGTCATTAACCTGTAAGTAGTGGCTCAGGAATTGGAGAAGGAGAAAGTTGTAAATATTAATACACATACTTTAGCAGGCTAATGAGGAATTAAATGAAACCTCCCGATCTGCTTAGTTTTTAGATATTACTACTACATGGTGAATTTATAACTTCAAATATAATCCAACAAAAAGAGGCTCATCAGTGGTTTTCTCGATGGCCAGGTAGATTTCTGTTTCAGGTGACAAGACTCTCAACTAAGATGGAGATGAATGTTGATTCTTCCAGCGACGCTGGTATTGTTTTCACCTTGTCAGGCTGTGTGCGTTGCCAGGTGTTGTGTATTTTTGTGTCGGTGGACTGGGGGACTGTTCTCTGACAGACATCAAGGACGGGACGAAAAATAATGGGACATACAAATATGTCATGTCATATGCCGTGTCAGTCATCCGTGTACTTTTGCCACTGCAGGTCAGAAAAATCTTTTAAGATCCTGCGAAGTATCAGGTCACTCTACTTTTTCATGTTCTGTGCTGTAGGAGGTTCCACACAGTGTTCGAGGCCTGGTTCCTTCTGGTCCAGTGTTCCCATTGGGTGCAAGTGGCTGTCCAGCTGCTGGTGACGTCGGAGCCTGAGGACTGTGCCCCCCTCCTGTGGCTGCTCACCTTCTACCACCACCCCACTAACAGGGGGCACCACAGAGCGCTGCAGTTGGTAAGACATCCAGAGACCTACTGGTCCCCGCAGTACGTGTCCCATGAGATCCTCTTCCCTTTTCTCTAGTGTCCACTCAACATTTCAACTTGTCTAGTGCTTTTGGTTTGTGACCAAATACAAACCTTATGACTTTCTCCTCAGCCCCAGCTGTGCTTTGTGTTCAGTGCAATTCAGAAAAGGTTAGAATGCTTAAATAATACGTTGAACATGGTAAACTGTATACCTACTTTGGACACTGGATAGATAGATAGTTACAGTAGGTTTATGGATGGATATATTGTCACGGCCAGTGTGTTCTGATGATACATTCACTCACCACTGTGCACAGCCTCACGCAGCCGCTATTGTTGCCTTATTTTACACTTTATTTTGGAAACATATTTTGAATCGTCCTTACGTTGTTGCTCATATTGCATTTGCAACACTGCAAAGATCAACACTGTACTGACTTGTCATCTTTATTTGATATGACTTAAGAATAGCTAGGTCCTAGTTTGGATATCATATCACACAGCCTGCAGCTATAGCATGTAGCATAACTCAACAAGTCCACAATGTGGATGGTCTGTATATTGTTAGTGGTATAATATGTGTCTTTGTTGAAAGCAATTGAACAAATACAGAGAAAAGGTGGATCAGAGCAATGAGAGAGACACAGAGAGAGAGAGAGAGAGATATGAGGGAGGGTGGCTGGGTGATGTAGTATTGATTTCTCAGTTAGTGTCTGGCCAGCTGACCCGAGTTTCTCTCTGTCTCCTGTTTGTCCGCCTCCTGCCATAACCCTGTTAGACTTCCTGCAGTCGCCGCCATCTCTGACATTATGATCAACGTGCACGAGGTTGACTTAATTCATCACTACTAATCTATTGGTTTTCATTTGGGCGGATATTTAAAGCAATGATTCTTGATTCAAGTAAGGTCTGTACGTGGACATCTGTCAGCTGACCAGACATTTATTGTGTAATTTCTGTTTCCAGGTACGTGGCAAAGAAGCATGGGACCACCTACACTCCCTGTTCTCGGTCTTGGATCCTCCTCTTCCTATTGATCTCCTGCAGTCATTGGTCACTCTGCTGTCCCCACAACCCCAGCCGCCACCGCTGTCTCCATTGTTGACACTCAACCTGTTTGTCAACTTTGCTGTTTTTCTCCAACAATCCCTGAGTGCATCAACGGAGATTGTGCAGATGGTGAGGAAACCATCTTCCTATTCACCAAAATGTGCTTTCAGGTGACATTTTTGATGTATTGAAACTGTAACATCAACAATAGATTTTCTTTAATTAAAAACAGATACAAACTTTTGGGCTAAATAAAATTTAGCAGTTTTTAAGTAGTTGTGTGTATACATTTTTCATGTACACCCCAGTTTGGATGTCGAATGATTGAATGATTATTTAGACGGTGTGTCTTTGTGTACGTGTGAGTCCAGGTGCTGGATCGCTGTGGTCTGGTTGATGGAGCGCGGTGGGTTCTCAGCTCCCTGCAGATCAGAATGAACCAAGGCGACTGCTTATCAAGCGACACTGAAAGAGTTCATCTCCGGATCCGGGCACTCCAAAACACATTAACACATATGCACGTAGCATCAAGCCCTGCCAAGGAATAAGCCCTCGCACACACACACTTCAAAATAGGTGAGAGTGCGCGCACACACACACACACACACACAATGCATAGAATCCTCAGCCATCCTCAGCTCAGGTTTTTTTTTTCAAGGCACTTGTGCAGAATATCAAATAGCCACGCTCTTGTTGGGACATGCAGCGGTGCATGGAGTGTGTCAAAACATCACAGCGAGGACAGATTAGGTAGAGAGTCGTCAATCACACGCAAACAACCACGCAACACATCTACAAGGCCCACCAGGATACTTCAGCAGCGACCGATCACACTACAAAGCAGCAGCGGCTCGTAAAACGTGTCATATAATCGTCTCACTATAAGTATCCATGATGTTACTCGAACTGACTGAAATACATCAATTTATTTGTTTGAGGGCAGGAAACCAAACACCAGTTATCTGTGTGAATACCATTTGTGTTTAAATGTTACAAACAACAAATCGCAATATTTTTGTACGTTTTCTATACAGAATGACTCCTTATCCATAATTCTAAGTGCAGAAATTTTGTAAACTGATATAGTAAGAAAAAATCAAATACCAGAGTTTTTCTCAAGAATTTTTATTTTAACATGAACAGATCAAAATTTACACACAGCAGTAACAAAACCGGAATTAACGCCTTTGGAAAAGTGTTGTAATGGACTGAGTGAAGTAATTTGTCGTCTATAAAAATGGAAATGACCTGAAAGCATTTTGTCTAACTCTTACGAGCCACATCATGGGTTTACCACATGCTCCTAAACATGGATGGGTGTGCCTCTGGCCACACAAAATCTATCATTTTAAAACCGGTAAATTGTGATTTTTCCCTTTCATTAAGTAAACAATGTTGTGTCTCACTAGGAACAGCTGGCGTTATTCCTCATTTCTTTGGACTTAAACATGCAGAGCTGCTGCGCTCCAAAGCTTCCCAGTTGGCCGGTTTGGTTTCCACTCTGCTGAGTGATTCTGGAGCCGGCCCCCGCTCACTGAGGAAGAGGAGGTGACCGCTGCGCCCCGCGTGCCAAACTCCTTTCATCTCCGTCTGAAGTCAGCAAACTGGAAGAGAGAGATACGTTCACATTGGAGCATTACGGAGCCTTTGGTCACCGGATGTGGAGGCAAAGCCTGGATACTGTGTGTGTTCAGTATCCACAAATAATCCAGTTTGGTCTGAAACCACCGGTACAACCCATACTGGGCATTTTTTTCTGAGTTTAAATGTAGATCAACCAACATGATTTGGGTTACAAATGAATCTGTGAACAATGTTATGAATAATTTTGTAGGTAGTAAAATATATATCCTTGCAACAGACTAAAACAAAAGAAGCAAAGTGGTTGCCAACACTAACGAGTCTTTTGTGTACCACCAGTGCTTGTCGTCTTCTGGTCCGGTGTGGAGTGGACTGGACTCCGGTTCCTGCTGAACTGAGCCAGTGGTTGTATAGGACTGATTATCAGCTCAGTAGGCACAGGAAGCCAACCCTGAATATCTCTGCTCGCTCTCCAACAAAGCACTGGCAAACCATGAAAACACTTTTTACCTTGTTTTTTTGTCTGTAATGAAGCGAAAAGGGAACGCCAACTCGAGCTCCACTAACCCCAAACCCGCCAGAAACCACACCACTTTAGGTCCATTTAGACTGTGGCGGTTGTTGGGCTGCTAGCTGGTGAAAGGTTTGCTTCACACGGTAGAAACTTTTCCACCCAAAATAATTGTTACATTGTTGGTTTAAACAAAATGGCTTTTACACTACAAACAGAAATATACATCCATCTAAATTACATTCTGCCACCTTCTGTGAGAAGCATGTATACATACCGCATCAACAATTAGAAAAGATTCCAACGTATGCTTTGAAATCGAATAAAACAGCCGTCTTAAATACAGTTGGCATTAAAGAGTCTTTCTAGCAGCGAGAAGAAACAACACTGTGGGCCAAATTAGTTTATTTTTGGTTCCTTTATACAATGTTGCTTGGTCCTTTATGTGCAGAGCACCATTTCCCCTCCCATTAGAGCGTAATAAATCACCTTTTGCATACAGGCTCAACAGGCCTTTGATGGTCATTACTCTTTTAACAGGCCCTAAATATAGGTCTAAAAATGGCAGACTCCACATGGCCCTCATTTCTAATTCAAACATCTGTCCTCGTTTAGTCGCCATTTTGTCGTCGTGAATATAGAGCGGTATAATACCTCCTCAAGTCTCATATTATGACTGCCAAAAAAAGACACAGTTCTAAAATTCATCTCCAGCAATCTGTCACGGTTTTGTTTGCGGGGTCACCAAGTACAGCTTTGCATCACAATCAGCTACAGTGACGTTATTTTAAGCTTGTTTTAACGTATCAACTTACTTTGATTTTACATCCTTTCTTTCGCCGTATGTTTTAAGGGTTTCAATTAAAGCACTTTGTTTTTTAAAAGTGCTATATAAAAGTTAGAGAAAAGGTATACGTTAAGTTAAGGTACGGCAGCATTTTAAACTTAAAATAATCATACATGATGTATTCTTTGCATGGCACAGCAAGCACCAGACCTCCTTTCACCTACACACTATGTGGACATTTGTAAAGAATTCAAAGAGAACAAATCGCCACATTTACCTTACAGAGGATTTGTACAGTTTGTAAAACCCTTGGAGGCAAATGTAAGATTAAATTGAACTGAAGACTAAAACAAATCCGTGAGGCAGCTCTGAACAGCCCGAGATTTATAGATCGCTGCATTGGCAGACGGCCATGCTAAATACGAGCCTGCTCATGTTGCTGAGCTTTGTGTGTAAAATCGGTATTTGGAGATTCAAGGTTATCTGGACTAATTCAGTGACCCCCCCCCCCCCCCCCTTAGTGCACTCTGTAAGGCTGGAAACAAAGCATGTGGTGTAACACAATCGACCATTCCTGCTTTTCTTGTCATCACCGGGTGTTTTACAGGAACACGTCGTTTCTCTGAGACAGAACAACACAAGCTGTATTCTAATAGCTTGTGTACAGAAACACTTAATTGTCCCAACGGAATGGAACTGAAATCATGGAAAGTGTGTGAGAATCTGTCTGCTTTATTGATCTCTGTATCTTGGTTTCCTCGTCCTGAGATTACATCAAACACTGATCCATATCTGCCGGGGATCCACAGACGGCACGTTTAAAACCTGAAGCACTAAGACGTGCACTGATTTGCTGCAGGCCCCGACCTCCTTTTTAACTAACTACCATGCTTTATCTACATTAAGCTCTCCAGCTAAAGGAATAGTTTGACATTTTGGGAAATTTTCATGAGAAGAACTGAACTAAATCTTGTTCAGTTACAGGAAAAGAGAAAAACAACATCCAGCTTTGACTACACTCATTTTTTTTAACTCCACATTATTGAACGGACGAGTATTGCTCCAGCTGCTACATATTGAACATAGAGATACGAGTGTGGAACTTAAAAAAAGCTAACTGAGAAGCAAATAAAATGCTCATTAGGCGAGACAGGTCACCACTACGGTGGTCCATAGTCCACTCCATCCTGGGCGGGGCTTCAGCGCTGTGTGGCTGACGCCAGATCTTGACAGCTGCTAAATAGTCGCTTTGGTAGCACTTTGTATAAGCTTCCAAAAGCATCAACGGAAATTTATAAATGAAAATTTGGCTTATCAAACTTAATATTTGTCCTAACCCAAGATCAGGCCTACAGGAGACCTCACGTCTAATTGTAACTTCAAACGTTTGTGGGAGAGTCGATTATCGATCATCAGCATTAAGCAGCGATTGCGTTTCCTCAGAGACATCGGAACCGGCAGGACGGTTTCCCTCCTACGGCGCTCGCCTCTCACCTTTGCCACAACTGAAGAGCGCACAAACCGGCATCATCTGCAGGATTGTCTTTTATACTACACCTAACTGAAGGGTGAGGTGAGAAAGCAAGAAAAGTAGATGAAAGAGAACCGGTCAGCGCAGAGTAACGCGGCCTCAGTGGAAAGTTTCACAGACAGTGAGGCTGGAAGGTTATAGACCGAATCCAATGCGGGAGGTGAGAGAGGACAAGTGAAACAAAAGCAAGACAACCATCTCGAGTTCACACAAAAGACACACACACACAGCCGCCACCTAAAAGAGCATTTCTGTTTTCTGTCGCACACAATCATTGTCTTCCTTTGTCCGCATGTCTGGGTCATGCTCTCCTCAGGTGCAGAACTTAGCCACTGTGAACAAAGAGGAAATCAATCACTGTTCACCAATCAGCTAAGCTCTGTGCCTGGCTGGAGAGAGGATGAAAAAACCTGTCTGGAGGACTGACACGTCCACACACACACACACACACACACTTTAAAAACACTCCCATCAAGACGCTCTGATCATCCGTTTCTTCCCCCCGTGCTTCCAAATCATCAACCCCTGAAACAAAATAAAACACTCTGAGCTAATCATGTCTTCTTAAGTCTTGGGGGGGATAAATGTGTGTGGAGGAGAGGCTGTGGTTGCCATGGCAGCCGGCTGGGTCAGGGCTGTGTGGTAATCCCTGGCAATGTGATTTTATCATAAGTCACAAATCAGCACGCCAGGAACCCTCACAGCCCAGACATGAAAGGACGCAATCTTTCCTCGTGGTTTTCCTGCTCCTGCTACATCCCGGCGTCCGGGGAATAAACCTGCAATACCTGGAAATAAAAGTCTCCTAGAGTGGTTTGTCCTCGACTTCCGCCACCAGAGCGCAGTGGTGCCAGAGCGGACCTGTTGATACTCCGTGCCTCCCTCCCTCTCGCACACTATTTCCTTGGTTACCCCTCTCCTCCTCTCCCATTCGCCACACTCGGCTGACCCGGCGATATGCCCCTCATTAAGCGGATCAAGAAGGATTCCAGAGGCATGTACCGGGGGAAGAAAAGAACGGGGGAGTGAGAGGGAGGGGAAAAGAAAAAGGACAGGGGGAGACCACCCTTGTCCTTTAAAGGGTTGTGCTTTTTAGGTTTAAAAACACAGAGCAGGGAGTGCACCTTGACAGACATGTTGTTTTCAGTTAAAACCCTCTCGGCCCGCCTCTGCCTAATCCCACTGTAGCGTGTGTGTGTGTGTGAGGGTGAGCGGGTGTCTGAGGGTGTAAAGGGTACAGGGAGGACTGCTCCACTTAAGAAAAGATGGTTGGGGCGCACAGAACGAGCAGTAAAACATCAATCCATCTCCCCACAGTGCAATATGAAAAAGCAGGGAGGAGGGTGGTTCATCCATCATTTTAATTGGAGAGAAACCTGGACCTGAGCTCAGTTGACCAGCGTGATCCATTGATGTTCACAAGGGCCTGTTTGGGATGTTACAGTATAAGTTAGAGGGTATAAATCTCTAAATGCTTCTTTTCTTCTGGTATTCTTTTCTTTACCGGGTTTTAGCCTCGCTCATTTCAGTCCTCCTGAACTTGTGGTGAGGCTCCACAGGGAGGTGTATAGAGGGAGTGAAGGATGACCGCAGAAGATCTTCAGGCACAGACAGATATGCGCTACGTGTGTGTGTGTGTGTGTGTGTGTGTCAGACAGATTTATCAGGACTGAGCCAGATGCCGAGGACTTGTCTAGAAAGCCTTTCACATCCTGCGCAAATGCATAAAGCTGTCTGTGTGTGTGTGTGTGTGTGAGAAGATAAAAGCCTGTCTTGTAGGGGCTTGGTCACAGCCTAAAAAAAGGATTTAGCGCTGTAAATCACTCAGGTTGACGTGACAAGTATTTAGCAGCTCCTTTTGACGGCGCCCGTGTTGATGAAGGTCACAGGCACAGTGTTTAACCCTGTGCTTGCTGTGTTTGGGGTTTGCTTGATGAATCAGTGATTCTTCTACATGAGCGATTTCTGTCCAGCAAATATGTGTAGCTGCCTGCTCTAAATATTCAAAGGTTAGTGTCAGTAACACCCTTCGGCGCTCCTTCTTTCTCCCATTTCTCTCCGTCCGCCTAAACCAACAATTTCTCGCTTAACTCCATGTAGCAGGAGACTGTTCTGAATCAGCATAAAGCTCAACGGGTGATAATTGGTGTTATGGATACACACACACACGAGCAATTTCAGGGTCACGTGTATGAAAATGACCCCACGTGGAGCAGAAGCCGCCCGGAGTCTGTAGAAAAAGCTCGCTGCCTTTTTCCTTTCTCTCCTCTCTCGTTTGTTTGAGGAGGACATTCCCAAATTCCTTCGCCGACAAACACATCTGATGGTGCTGCTGTGAAACCACGGACAGGCCCCATTCTACAAACACACACGTGTGCATAGAAACACACACACACACACACTCAATGGGATCAGTAAGGAATGTGAAGAATAGGTGGACAAGTGGGGACTGTGCGCTGTGGCAGAACACTAGTTAGCTTGAGTGTATTTTTACTTTCCTGATAGAGATATTTCTGTAAATTGTCATAGAAGTAAAATTCTACAATAATGTGGAGTTGAAAATTACAAAAGTGCAAAGATAAAAATGTATCATTTTGCTTCTAGTCTGACTTGAATACTATCAAGGACACAATGGCATGAGAAACAACGCATGAAGCTGTACCTTCAATGTCAGAGGACCATCTCCTCCACCACTCTGCGTGCTGATTGGTCCATTTCCTCCTGGACCAATGACAGGCAACGACGAGCCAGAGCCTGCTGCTCGCGGTCCTCCTGCACCATCAGCTCCCCGTACAGATACACACCCATGGCCTGAAACACACAAGGATAAAAAGCACTTGGTTGTCTAATCGTCTTTAAGATTTTTCCTCAGTGAAAATGTGTGTCATGTTATCGAACAGGTCTAATGTTCAACAGTAATGTGTATTTACCTGGTTGTGAACCAGAAAGTGTTCCACATCTCCGTAAGCCCGGGCGTGCGAGTGCTTGACCACCAGCTCGCACCAGCGGTGTTTGACCTGGAAGCAGCAAACACAGGACAACATGGAACAACTGTTAGAAGGAGCCACATTACGCCTTCTTACCACGAGTTGATCTGGTCCTTTGTGGCCGGAGTGAAATGTCTGAAACATACTTTGGTAAAACATCACCGAGGATCATTATCAACGGCACATTTTCAGCCCGCCCCAAACAGCTGTGCTCAAAACTCCTCCCCCTCCCTCCCTGACCTAATAATTCTGTGATTCCAATCATTCCGTTGATTTTTATAGTAAATAGCGCTGAATTTGTATATTTTCCTGTCCAGATACGGGGAAAGATGCGAAGAGAATACAAGCTGAGGCGACGTAACGGCGTCTGGTGACGTTGGCAAACCCAACTGCCAAACAAATTGTTTTAATTAGTAGTAAATATTCATTCATTATAAGAATCATTAAAAAAAATGCATAAGTTGATTTCTTCCAGCGTTTGGGGTTTGTTAGACGTGCCAGAGAGCCACATTAACCTGTAGAAGACCTATCAAAGAGAATTTTCATATGTCCCCTAAATGGAATCAGAAATTAAACATGAATTTATTCATTTTAAATCGGACCTTTGATGTGGAAAATGAAATATATTCACTATTCAAATGGAAGCAAAATGTTGTCGACGTGGAATAATGCGAACAGGTCTCCCTCGATGCCATTAACAAAAGACAAACTGCTCGTCCGACAACGCTGCCGCTCCGCTGACAATAAAAAGATTCATTCACAATCAGAGGATTAACAGACGTGAAAAGGAAACCATCTCAATCTAAAGCTCATGTTTAAAAAATCTAATTCTCTGACAATGTGCATACACATGTTCACTGTGTACTTGTGATGTTTTTTTGTTTTTTCTACTTTTTTTTTACTGTACGTGTGTATCCGAGTGAAAGCTAATGCTTGGCCTTTCTCCCAGAGGATCAATAGGAGCTCTGTTGCCGCGGTTACAGGAGAGATCAGAGACTGGCTCTGTCCCCGCCTCAGCTATCGTCCCTCATCATCTGCTATGGACGTGCGTGTGTGTGTGTGTGTGGGAGGATACACTGTGCGTGTGTACATGGATACGGACTTGTGGAGGCGACCGTCGGAAGAGTGATACAAAAAATGTAGATGAAAAACCTTTGAAAGCACCGTCGGTGTTTGAAGCCTGAAAGTTCCTTTGGTGGTTTTCCATTGTGGGTCTTCCTCTTTCCTCCATAACTACTTCCACACACTCAAGATAATAAACGTGTCCTATTTGCGCTTTGGGGATTTCCACAGTGCTCATACAGAGATTCACCCATAAAGAGGATCTACCTGTAACCGAGTTCACGCGCCTAATAGCAGTTTCTGCTTGGTTCGTTTGAGCCAGAAATGCTGCGCTGCCCAATCTATGAAG